GGCCGTTGGCATCAGCCCGGGACGCCGACACGCCGGTGCTTGTCACCCCGGCCGTGTCTCTGGTCTTTCCTGTTGCCCTGTAGCCCGTCGCGGGCGTCTCTGGGAGAACCCTGACTCAGGCTCGGCCTGGAGCCCTGCCGCGCATTCCGGGGCAGCGCCTGGTGCCTTAGTTCTGTTTCCAAGTGGCGGCTGGCCGAAAGCCCCGTGGCGCCAGGGTCAGGGTCTGTCCCACTTCGCTCCGTACCCCAGCCTGGTGGGACAGGGGGCTTAGTGTGAATAGTTAACTAAATAACCATGAGAAAAGCAAAAACAGACCCCCACCCCTGGTTGCCCTCCTGGCGCTGCCACTAAATGATTTTTATAAGCACTGTTTTCCTTCAAATTTTTTCCTGACGTAGTTGCAGACTTACAGAGCCATTGCAGAAGCAATGCAAAGCACCCCTGCAGACCCCTCACCCAGACCCCTCCACTGTTCATATGCGCCTGTGTGCCTTTTCCACCCCACTGTGTCCACATGCGTGTGTATGTGGGGGCGTGTGTGTGTATACGTGCATTGGTTATTCTGAACCTTTTGAGAGTGAACACTCAGTATACTTCCTAAAAACAAGGGCATTCTCTTACATGCCCACAGTTCAGTTTTGAGTATAAGGAATCAGCATTGACACATTCAGTTATCTAATGAACAGACTTACCCAGATTTGGCTTACTGTCCCAGTGATGGCTTTTATACCCAAGGACACTCCTAGACCATGCACTGCAGTCACTGTGCTGTTGCCTAAGCCTCCTTTAATCTGGGGTGGCCCCTCACTCTGTTTCATGACATTGGCATTTGGGAAGGGTCCAGCCAGTTGTATATAGACTGTCGCTCAATCAGGGCATACCTGATGTTTCCCCAAAGTGAGACACAGGTCATGAGCCACGTGCTCCTCTGTGAGTACTCTCAGCAGATGCCATTCAAGGAGCCTGGTCTCCTTTGGTTCCTGAAGAGTCTTGCCTCCCTCTGCGCTTCACACCCCTGGGGGCAGCCCTGCAGGGCTAGCATCCCCCAGCCTAAGACAACTGCAGTACTGCCAACAGCTGTGGACACCTGCTGGGGTAGAAAGGACCATGCCTGAACCCTGCCACTGGCTAGATAAGAAGGCAGTCAAAGAGTGGGGAAGGGTCAGGAGGGAGCCTGAGCATGGGCCATCGGGCCCCAGGCTTGTCCTTGAAGGAACGCTAGAATTTAGACCAGAACCCCCACCCCTGGTTGCCCTCCTGGCGCTGCCACTAAATGATTTTTATAAGCACTGTTTTCTTTCAAATTTTTTCCTGACGTAGTTGCAGACTTACAGAGCCATTGCAGAAGCAATGCAAAGCACCCCTGCAGAGCCCTCACCCAGACCCCTCCACTGTTCATATGCGCCTGTGTGCCTTTTCCACCCCACTGTGTCCACATGCGTGTGTATGTGGGGGCGTGTGTGTGTATACGTGCATTGGTTATTCTGAACCTTTTGAGAGTGAACACTCAGTATACTTCCTAAAAACAAGGGCATTCTCTTACATGCCCACAGTTCAGTTTTGAGTATAAGGAATCAGCATTGACACATTCAGTTATCTAATGCACAGACTTACCCAGATTTGGCTTACTGTCCCAGTGATGGCTTTTATACCCAAGGACACTCCTAGACCATGCATTGCAGTCACTGTGCTGTTGCCTAAGCCTCCTTTAATCTGGGGTGGCCCCTCACTCTGTTTCATGACATTGGCATTTGGGAAGGGTCCAGTCAGTTGTATATAGACTGTCGCTCAATCAGGGCAGACCTGATGTTTCCCCAAAGTGAGACACAGGTCATGAGCCATGTGCTCCTCTGTGAGTGCTCTCAGCAGATGCCATTCAAGGAGCCTGGTCTCCTTTGGTTCCTGAAGAGTCTTGCCTCCCTCTGCGCTTCACACCCCTGGGGGCAGCCATGCAGGGCTAGCATCCCCCAGCCTAAGATAACTGCAGTACTGCCAACAGCTGTGGACACCTGCTGGGGTAGAGAGGACCATGCCTGAACCCTGCCACTGGCTAGATAAGAAGGCAGTCAAAGAGTGGGGAAGGGTCAGGAGGGAGCCTGAGCATGGGCCATCGGACCCCAGGCTTGTCCTTGAAGGAAGGCTAGAATTTAGACCAGGTGGACTATGTCCCAGTGCAGAGCAGTACAAAGTGACACAGCAACACAGGTGGTGTTTGGTTTGCGAGCATTTAGAGCTTGTTTCCACCTTCTCTTGAAAATTCAGATGAGGCAAGAGCAGCCCCACTTCTCCTGCAGCAACCAGCTAGGGGACCCCTTGGACATGACGTACTCCGTGGTTACCACAGTCCCCACTGGCCTGCACCTCTCAAGTGTGACATTAACTTGGAGTGAAGCACAGGGTGTTATAGATCATTGGGCCTGTGAGCCTTGTTTTACAGATGGGAAAATAATACCAGAGGGATCACAGGACTTTCATGTGTTTCTGTGGGCAAGGTCTAGAGCCCTGGTCCCTGGTAACTCATCCTGTGCCTCTCCACAGTTCTGACAAGAGGTATGTGGAGAGGGGGTGTGTCCTGTGCAGGGAAAGGGTAAGATTCTATTCTGTTATCACAAATGTAGGACACACAGGTGAGTGATGTAGTTAGAAATATTGTTGTCAAAAATCACATTTAAACTGGAGGCATTTGAGAAGTGATGTCTTATTGGTTTAGAATGTCCATGTTTATTAAGCATCTCATTCCCTACTCTTAAATAAGAGAATGAATAAATCTGGATTAAACAGAGGGAACGAGATTCTATGTGGGCTGAAATATACTCATCAGATGACAGCCTTCCTAGAACAGATTCAGTGTTCTCTGCCTCCTGAGCCACAGTTAGAACTTAATTAATCCTCTGCTCGGTCACAGCCTTCACTCTGTGCTGAGACCTTGCCCTGCGCTCCTGAGGCATGGGACAGCTTATTTGCCTCTATCCTGGCTGGCTGCCCAGAGCTGCACCTTCCATTCTGGAATCCAGTTAGCGGGTTTTTAGTCCCTGGCTGCCACCTTCCATTTTCCTGCTTCTCCTCCCACTTGGCAGCATGAGTCACTTTGTTGGAGCTGCTCAGAAGAAAACAAGTAGCAAGCCAGGGCTGCAGGGCGTGCCTCTGCCACTCTGTAGGAGGAGGATTGGCTTGTGTGTTGTGGACGATAGTTTTGGCAGCTCATGAATACAGGCAGAAGTCCCTAGGCAAAGCCAATAACTCAGTAACAGAAAAGCAGCTGCGCTTGTATGAAATTGACCAAGAATGTTGTGAGTGAATCCTGCTCTCATGTGTACAGATCGTGGCTGGGGTGAACTACTTCTTGGATGTGAAGATCAGCCGAACCACATGTACCAAGTCCCAGTCCAACTTGGCCAACTGTCCTTTCCATAACCAGCCACAACTGAAGAGGGTATGTGCCTGACGTGGGCTGTGAACTACTTCTTGGATGTGAAGATCAGCCGAACCACATGTACCAAGTCCCAGTCCAACTTAGCCAACTGTCCTTTCCATAACCAGCCACAACTGAAGAGGGTATGTGCCTGACGTGGGCTGGGTACAATTGTGCATGGCAGAGGGGTGTGCGTGCACAGTTGTGCGTGTCTGGGAGGGTATGTGTGCACGTGTGTGGGTGCATGGGGAAGTGCAGGAGAGTGTGTGTGCATGCAGGTATGTGCCTGGGTGGCGGGAGGGGGGAGGTTCATGCATAGATCACATGCAGTGTGGGGGTGCATGTGAGTTAATGTAAATGCCTATGTGTGCACATGTAGGATGGGATGGGGAGGGCTGTGTGTGCACATGATTAATTTGAATTGCTAAGGGGGGTTTAGCTTGGGAATTGGGGTACTGGTTACTGGGACAACAACACCTGCTGGGCTGGAGGAAGTGCTGGGTGGAGGGGTGGTTGCTGGGGAGGGAGAAGGGGCTCTGCGTAATCCTGGCCCTGCCACCTGCCCATAGCCCCGGCCATGCTGAGCAGATTACAGGGAATTTGAGGCCACTAAGCGGCCAGAGCCCTCAGATGCTGTCCCCGCTGCCCCAATACCAGCTTCTGCATGGGTTTGGCTGGTTCTCTTGAGATCTCAGCTTGGGGAAAGCTGCATTCCCCTTGTCTCCCCCTCCTCATACCCTACCTCTTTCAGGGGGAGTTTCCCATCCCTGGGGTCCTCCCTCTGGACCTTCTCAGTGCTGGCTGGCCCAGGCGTTGGAGGTGGCGGGAGCTTGGGGTGGTGAACCGCCTCCCCCTGCCCTCCACCCGGGGCCTTGCACAGGCTGCTTCTACAGGCCCCTGCTGGGGTCAGGACAGTGTGGAATCCTGGGGGCCAGAGCAGGGGACGCAGTGCCATCTGGTGGATTTGAAGTTGTGGAAGGGGCAATAGAGCAGTCACTGCAGAGTCTGTCTCAGTGTTCTAGGAGTTGGTAGGGATGTGGGGGCTGAGTGTTTCAGCTCCATCATTCCTCACCCCCACTCTGACATCTCCTGGCTGGGCTTCTGGGCATCTTCCCTTTTAATTGTCACCCTCACTGATTGTTCCTCTTTCTTCCTTTGCAGACGGTGCTCTGCTCTTTCCAGATCTACACTGTTCCCTGGGAGGGCAAAATCTCCCTGACAAAATCCAGCTGTCAGAATGCCTAAGAGTCTGTGCCAGGCTGGGCCACCCTGACTGCCTCTTCCCGGCCCCCTTGTAATTCTCCCAATGCTTAGATTGGTGGCCCGCACCCTGGTGGAAGTCTTCCCATGCTCCAGTACCATGAGACAAATAGAGATGGTATCCTGAGGCATTTGTGAGCAGCCAAGTGGCTCTACCCCGGTCCTTCCTTCTCACTGCCTGTCACATACACCGGCACGTGGTGCATAAGCACTGCTCCACCCTCCTCAATAAAAAAGTAGCATCGTTCCTTCCGTGCTGTTTGCCGTTGTGGGAATGTGCACATAAGAGGCGTGGGTGGCTCCTTGCCCTGCTGGTCCTGGACAGCTGTCCTGGCTGCAGCACGCCTGTCAGGGGAAGGAGCAGGAGGGGCTGGGACCCCAGACGTTCAGCTGCAGCGGCTCCTGATGAGTGGATAAGGGAGAGGAGTAAGGAGGCGGCTGGACGGTGTCCATAGCCCAGGGTCAGCCCTCAGGGAGCTCTGCCGGGCAGTAGGTCTCATCCGTGTTTGCAGGGCTGATCAGATGCCAGGGACTGACTTTCACAAGTCATATTCCCTAGAGACTAAATACTTGTAAATAATGATTTATGTCTACTTCTTTCCACAAAAGACTCTAAGACCGCCTGGGAACAAAGACATTGTACATGTGTGTCTGTGTAACTGACGGGGGAAAAGATCAGCCAGAATTAAAGATGCGCAGAACAGTACGAAGGGAAATCCCACCTCCTGTGACCCACTGGGAAAGTGTGCCCTGCGCGGTGCCCCGCCGCAGGTACCCCTCCAGCCCTTTCTCTGGACGTGATTCAAAACTAGTCCTTGTGTAGAGCTTCATGTAAGGGTGTCACATTTAAAAGACAAACAGGACTGACACACAGTGAGCTTTCTTCTTTTTTTCTAAGAAAGTAGTTTTAACTAATAAAGAATATCACCTTAGTGTCACCATCATTCCATGGAATAGAGGGTATTTCAGTTTCCCAGAACAGGAAGGCTGCCATCCTGAAATGCATTTGCACACAGTCCTTTCTGCTCTGTCCCTCTGCTGCCATGGCAGGGTGATGGAGACTCCGGCCAGGGCTGGACAGTGTTCTCAGCTGCCTTCCATGCCCAGAGCAGCATACGTGGTGCTCTTTTGTCCAGTGCCCTGAACACTGCAGGCAAAGTGACAGAGGGGAAGCCACCCAGACAGCTCCAGGGCCAGTGCCCATGTGCCACACCAGCAAAGCCAGAGCCCAGAAGGTCCTAGAGGGAGGGCAGGAGTGTCCCCTTCCATCTGCATATCCTGGCAGAGCCCTCACTCTTATCTAACAAAAGCCTTCCAGATGGCCAGGAGCTGGGGACGCTTGGGTCTGGGGTGTGACCTTGCCGTGAGTGCCTGGACCTGGTGGCAGCTCTTCTGTGGGAGGGAGGGGCTGTGGGCAGAGCAGCCTGTGAACAGAGCAGTGGTCTGGGGAGGTGCTCAAGGATTCTACCCCAATGAAAGGTCTCCTTTGACACAAGCATCCACCATCCTGGCACACAGTGAACTGCTGATTTTGTGTAAACCAGTCCCTTTTCTGACACAGTTCTGTCTTCCTTGGGGAGGGTAGGGGTTGGGGCTGGGCCTTGGCTCTCCACACTTCCTCCCTGTGTGTCTGCCCCCTCCCCTGCCTCTACCCCATGGCCTCCTGTCCCACAGGAATGCAGACTGGTGCCACCGAGGTCCCCCTCAGGAGCCAGCAGGCCTGTGGGTGCCCCAGCCCTATGTTCTTGGTGAGGCATGTGAGCCAGAAGCCTCTGACCTGGAGAAGTCTCTCATAGCTGCCTGTCCTGCGGAGGAAGCTCAGCCTCTGCAACTCGTACCCGCATGGTTTTACTTTTATGTTCATTCATTTTCAGAGTTAAATGTAAAAGTATATTTCATGTAAAATCACCCATACAAGTAGATTTAGTGCAGTGCCTGGCTCAGCAAATATTTTTTCATTGATCTGATTATGTATCGTGGTGGTTTTAAAACATGGCCCCGGAATTCTTTGGCATTCCTGTGTTGAGCTGTGGGGTCTGTGCCCCCACCTCTTGACTCTGGATGGGCTTGTGGGGGTATCAACCAGAAACTACAGAGGAAGTGAGACAGGGTCTTCTGAGGCTGTGTCAGGAAAGGCCCCCGTGCCTTCCTCTTGGACCCTCGCCCTGGGCAAAGCCACTTTCCATGTTAGGAGTTCACCTCCCCCAAGACCTCCATGCTAGGGAGGCCATGAGGAGGCGCTCCAGGTGACAGCCCCAGCTGAGCTCCCTGCTGAAGCCAGCATCACTGCCAGCAAGGTGAGTGGCTACTTGACTGTCCAGTACAATTTGGGCTGTCAGGTGACTGCAGCACCAGCTGTCATCCAACTGCAACCACACAGAGACCCCAAGGGAGAAATGCCCAGCTGTGCCCTCCTGAATTCCTCACCCATGAAATTTTGAGCCAGCAGCCGGCGGGTACAAGCAGATCACATGGCGAGAGGAAGCAAGAGAGAGAAGTAAGAGAGAGAGAGGAGGTGCCAGGGTCTTTTTAAGCAACGAGCTCTCATGGGAACTAATAGAGCGAGAACTCACTCATTAATCCCTCCTCCCCCAGGGAGAGCATTAATCCATTCATGAGGGATCCGCCCCCATGACTCAATCAGTTTCCAACACTGCCACATTGGAGATCAAATTTTCACATGAGTTTTGGAGGGGACAACACATCCTAACTCCATCAACTTGTTACCCAGCAATGGTATCGGGGGCATGCCTGTGCGTGTGTATGCCCATCGAAGGTGTGAAGCCCAGGGACCCTACAGTGGGACCTCCTGGGAGTGAATTCCACTTGGTGTGTGACCTGGGCAAGCTCCTTCCAGTCCAAGCCTCATTTGTCTCATCTGTAAAATGGGGACAGTGATAGTTCTTTACTCATGGGAGTGATGAGAATTAAATATATTAATATTGCTAAAACAGTGCATAGCACACGGTGCTGCCATAAAATTTGTTGCATGAGGGCTGGCTGGTTAGCTCGGTTAGTTAGAGCACAGCCTTATAACCCCCAGATCACGGGTTCAGTTCCCTTTACTGGCCAGACACCAACACCCCCCCCCCAAAAAAAAAGTGTTTCATGAATACATATTATCCAATCAAAATGTTAGTAGAATTTATTTTTGTGTGGTTACATATGAGTTTAACTGATTGAGTTTGGGCATGTTGCCCCCACAAACTCATGTGGAAATCTGATCCCCAATGTGGCAGTGCTGGGAGCTGTTTGAGTCATGGGGGCGGATCCCTCATGAATGGATTAATGCTCTTCCTGGGGGGTGGGGGTAGTGAGTGAAATCTCACTCTGTTAGTTCCCATGAGAGGTGGTTGTTTAAAAGACCCTGGCACCTCCCTCCTCCCCCTCTCTCTCTTGCTTCCTCTTGCCATGTGATCTGCTCATACCCAACAGCTGCCTGCTGCTTTCTGCCATGAGTAGAAGCATCTTGAGGCCTATGCCAGATGCAGCTGTCCCAGAATCATGAGCTAGAGATACCTGTTCTTTATAAATTATCCAGTCTCAGGTATTCTGTTATAACAACACAAAATGTTCTAATACACTAACTTAAGGTTTTCAAACGATGTTATTACCCATTTATTTTTCTGTGAGATTTACAAAATCTGGTTCAAAAAGCCATCTTGATCCTATAGCAAATTCCCATAGCTTCATAGGTCAGATTCTGGATCTCAGTCCCAAATCTAGCTGATTCCTTTTTAAATTTTTGCCAACTGCTCTATTTTACATATGAAGTTGTTACATCTTTTAGGTAATGACCATTCTCTATTTTTTCCCCCTAGATTTTGTTTTTTAAATGTATTTATTCTTTCAAATTGAATTATTTTCTCAGCTTCAAAAGTAGAAGTATTGGGCCGAGCCCATGGTGCACTCGGGAGAGTGCAGTGCTGGGAGCGCAGCAGCACTCCCGCCGCGGGTTCGGATCCTGTATAGGGATGACCGGTGCTCTCACAGCGCTCACTGGCTGAGCGCAGTACAGCTGGTCTCAAAAAGGACCAAAAAAAAAAAAAAAAAGAAGAAGTATTGTGTTTGAGCCAGGACTACATTACATTTATATTTCAATTTGAGGAAAAACTTGACAGCATGTCTTACTTGAGCTTGTCCTTTTAGGATACCGTGTGTCTTGCAATGTGTTCATGCTTCCATTCTGCCCTTCAGTAGAGTAAGTAACTTTTTATGCATCTTTCGTATTTCCTGTGAAATTTATTTCTGGATATTTTATATTCTTATCGGGAATATTTCCCCATTGTATCTCCAAACAGTCATGGCTGATAAGAAAACTATTGATTTTGGTTCTTTTTCTTGTATATGCCCATTATCTGTAGGCACTTAGAGGTCTGGGAGTTTGCACCCATTGCTGCCTTCAGATGCAGAAGGGAGCTGGCTTATCCTTGATAGCAGGAGTGACCTTGGGCTAGGCCAAGAGCCTCACTAACAGATGCAGAGAGAGAGAAGCACTGACCCTGTCTGGAACCTCTCCATTGCTTCTTGTTTTATGCCGCTGTACTGTCTGATGCCGTTGGTCGAACACACAGTAAACTGAGAAGCCGTGAACACAGTGGTAGCTGAAATGAGGAGCAGATTCTCTCTTAATTACCCATATCTGCTCTCTCCCCTTGGCATTACAGTTCCTAGTTATAGAGAACCCCAGTAGAGCTTTGGTGATTTCAGGCAGGTGAAGTGGGCTGGATGATCTCACCTGGTCACGCCTATGGTCCTCACTCCTGGCTGCACATCAGAATCACCTGAATAGGTGCTGATTCACAGGCCCCACCCAGGCACACGCCCCAGGAGACTGCAACAGTTGTAGGAGGCAAACCCTCAACTGTTCTTACTGTAGGTCCTCTTCATGCTGCCCTAGGAGGCTGCCCCTCCCTGAGTGGTGTCACGGATCCTACCTGTCCCCCCACCCCAGAGCTGTCATTCCAGTGCATCCTCTGAGGCTAATCTCTCATTCATCAGTGAGATGCCTTTGGCCCCAGTCACTATTTCTAATTCAGGAGCAGCTTAGGTGTCTCCCAACTTTTTAGTGCCTCAAAGACAAATTGGATCATGGTGGGTCCCCATTTCCCTGTCCTTGCCTTCTGAGCCACATTGTACTTGGCATTGGTCTCATTGGTCCAGGTCCTTAAATTCACAGGGAGGTCTCTCTCCTGCTGCTGAATTAGCCAGTGTATCTATCAGTCAGGGTTTGGAAGCAGAACCAGAG